TTTTTGAAATAAATAAAATTATCCCTATCCTGGCATTCCATTCATTTGAATATTTCCAAACAATGATTAGCGATGTAAATGAAATTTCATTGGGCAACGAAAACGTCAACACGACAAAAGATCAAGCAGGCACAAGAGTGAGAGATATGTAGTCAAGGGTCTGTGGTCTGTCAGCTGCCGCGCACTGTATTTATATAAGATGACAGCAAGATTACACATCTGTTTTTATTCGTTTTTAATCTGTGTGAACCTTTTTGGTACCGACATCCCATAATTGGTTGCAGGGTTGAATAGAGGGGCTGGAAAAAGTTACAACAATCCGACCAACTAACATGCCACTACGACAATTCGACCGACAACTTTATGTGTCACGTGCACCAATGGACAATATGACGCGCAGCCATTCCAACCAAAACAACGGCGGTTCGCTGAGTGCTATCAACGCCCTGTAAAAGGCGTGGTGCAACTGTCACGACATTCACTTCACTAAAGTGAGCTTGCGGACCCTCGTATAGCCATATTCGCGGGCTTTTACAATTACTATTAAGGCCGCTTTGTTTTTTTTTACTGCCGTTGGAGTTTCTTCCCATTGTTCTTTCTGTTCGTCGATGACAAACAGTAAGAACGGTTCTTCTGATTAAAATATTGATGAGCCATAGCTCCTTCGTTTTGATGAGGAATGCCCCATCGCCCATTGGGCAGAACTTGCCTACACTTGTTTTGTACACGGAGTTTGACGCCTATACCATGTAGTGCTCCACCTCTTGTCGGACCAAGAAACCCTAAACCCTAAGACTTTTTAAGCTGGGCTTGAAATCAAGTTCAGCCAAGAGATCCGTGGCGTTGGTAGTAAACCGTACTATCGTATCTTCTAACTTGACGAGTTAAGGGTAATCTGTTTTAGGGTAGTCATTGGCATTAATTATCGCAAACTTGGTGACATCGAGGGTGATTCCCTTGGTTATTACTTACCCCCTGCAACTACTGTACTACAAGGCGTCCTTCTTTATATTCTCTTAACCCTACACGGGTGGATCCCACTGCTCTACCCGTGATGCAGCCACGCGACATCTTCCTCCTGCATCTATGTCTGCGACACACTGCTAATGGTCTGTAACCTTTGCCCCGGGCTCCCGTGAGAGTCCAATAGAGAGCCCAATTGGCTTCCACGATAGAAGGCGACCAACACCACGAAGCTGCTCAGCAGCACCGTGGGTCCGCACAAGAAAGTGACCCTAACATTTATATTCTTTCGGCTGGTAAAGCAAGGCCTCCCAAGTCAGTCAGTCTTTTAGATGGTCCAGCTCTCAAAAACGCTGTCTAGCGTGATTGTCAGCGCTTGAGCAAACGACTGCACAATAGGCCCCAAAGATTCCCTTCGGCTACTATCATGACATAGCCCATTTCCTTTTCTACCCCCAAAACGATCGAGATCGGAAGGTTTTAGAGCGTAACCGTGTGGCACAGGCCACACCGGTTGCACAGGCTAAAGCCAACAGTATGGCGCTGCTATTATTGCAGTCGGCCACAGGGTGTTGTACCAAAATAATCCGATATCATTCTCCGATGCAGTCCGTTGGGGCGGTCCAGCGACAGTATTGTCTTTGGAACTCTCTGTCAAACATATCGTGTCTCCACCATTCAAAGCTGAAGGTAAAGAACTTATTGACACCCCTGCCCGTAAAGGGTACTCGCCAGCCACGCCAGTCGCCTCTCTATCGAAGCCTTTTTTAATTGAAATTTCTTCTTCATAAAATACGCGAGCAGTACGATCCCAAGTTCGCGTGGCGGTCGCAACTAAAAGATTCATACTAACCTTGCATACTCGCTTCTCACTGTCATCGAGAGCTTGCCATCTTGTATGTGAAGTGGCAGCGTCACTTTTGCGCTGGTTGTTGTCCTCTAGTTTTGATTGCGTTATGTTAAAATCAAATACGAAAGTTGGCACGCAAGAGACGCTTTTGTAAGTCTCTTCGACTTCTAAGATTAAATTCCATCTTCTTTTCAACTGCATCTGTGGCATGCATCTCGCTAATTCGAAAGCGTTGATATAGTTACGACGCGTACAATGATTTAGTGCGAGATGGAATTACACGAATGCATCAATGAATCACTTTCATTTGACTGTGACACGCGCCAGCTCTGCCTAAGTTACTGCAATGCATGATGCGTTTCTCCACTCTCAGGGATCTCACCAGACTCAGAATGCTACTCAGTACAGACCTTCACAGTAAACGCCTGATAACATTCGAAGTTAAATCTCATATCCAGTTCTCTCTGGCCATTTATAGGAGTCATTGCGCAACATAAGTGCAATACGAATCTATGATCAGATCCACGGTACAAAAAAATGTGTTAAAATGCGCGAGTTTGCCTTGATTGTTTAACAATCAGATAGGAGTGATATTTGTGTGACTGATTACCGAAACTCTTCAATTTACACGTAGACCACTGAGCTTCAAGCAAGCATTCTTGTCTGGCACAGTCACATTCTGTGCTCAACTGGGAAAAACTACTGGCATTAGCTAGTGGTCATCTTCAAGTTCTCTTGATTATAACCATATGCTTTGCCGCCACTCTCATCACAAATCAGGCAAGATGACCTATCCTAAAATCGGTTTGGACAGGCTTTGGTGGACTGAATCCTATTCGAAGAGTAGGTATTTATGCCTCGCTCCCATATCAGATCTATCCTGATCTGTCTCATATCTTCTATGCTGTTAGATCACGATATATGTACCACAGGGTCAAACAAACAGTCGACAAATGAAAGGATGAAATCCAATTTGATCAGCGATACACGATATAGCGGCGTGATATCGCGATGTGCCATTTTATACCTGCACGTTGCCGGTCGAGTCCGTCTATTGGGGTTGCCGTTGAAGAGTCTACACGCTTCAACTCATTTGGAACCTATTTACGCAGCGATAAAGCTACAACTAGTCCAACAATCCGACGTGGTGCTATCACTATGGCACAGGCCTTGGGTGAATGTCAGCTAAGATATGCCACCAACTTAGCAAGTGGTTCATTCTGTACCGGATCGGCAGATACTGTATTGAGGTCCGGACAGAATAGGATGTCGCGGAGAGGCACTACTAGCAACCCGTGTGGAATTCTAGAACCCGTATCGGTCCAGATGTGATCGCTGTGTGCCGTAATATGGCTGCTAGGTATTATACCTGGTGCTTTACAACTGATTGCTCAGAATAGCGGCTTGTCTTTGATCATCCATCCGCGTTTACTCAGAGCGTTGAAGAGTGCCATTCCAACTGTCATCGATAAGACGTACCCTACGAAACAAATAAAGTACTCCGTCAGCAATGTGTCTACTCAATGCTCAAGTCAAAATACAAAGATGGATTCTGGCTCACATATTTGCAGAAATAGTCGATAGATACTATGGACAATACTTCAACATGAGAATTAGAAATCAGAACAAGCAACATTATATCAACATACCCGTAAATCCAACATCACCAGTCGCAAAGCCGAGTAAGGCTGGTCCCTATGATCAAGCGAGAAAAAGAAACATTCGATGGCTGTCAAACAACTATACATGGGCTTGCCCTTAAATACACATTGAAATTTCGGGCCTAATGGCGGCAACAAAAAAATGTTTGCACTGTGACTTCTTATGCTCTTGATACTAGAACAGGTATCCTCATGATGTGAGTATCAACATTTTATATAAGCGCTCAACCCAACCGAATGGCAGCAATACATTCACCACTGTGCCAAACATCGTGCTATACGATACTAGCCTGACTAACTAAAGCACAAGAATGATGTCACACCTACTATACTATGGTTCGACTCCGATTCCTATGTAGAAAACCCTAAAACCCATAGAGTCCACATTGAGTTATATAACGACAATATTTGATCGTCGATGTAATTATGCAATTTTTTTTCAACATATATATCGCGCGCACAAACTTCAGTTTGATTCAGTGTTCGGTGCAAGACTGACACCAAGTCCACAAAAGATATTTCCGAAAATCTCGTATTTCTTATTTAAAACTTCACACCGTGAATATCGTCACAAAACCTCTGCTGAATTTGTACCGCTTTAACGAAATCAGCGGCAACAACTGCTAAGAAACCAAAATTGTCAGGCGAGAAATATTTTTATACCAACATACGTAGTATCAAATAGACGACCAAACAAGACTACAACAGGACTCAGCGTTAATAACGTACCGGACAAAGACCAGCTAGTCCCCAGCCCACACCGAAGAGTGAGGAGCCCATTACAAGTCGGCCGGTTATGTCCCTTCGGGTTGGAACAGAGAACGAATCGAGCAAGTAAGGCTTATCTGGGTCGGTATGCAGTATGTACAAGATTGGTAAGAAAAGTACCAAGATACTGTGGCGGTATGTAGTGTGAGTAAGTTGGGAGGTTTAGGACCGATGCAGGTGTACAGATGCCTGAGAAATCGCTTCAATCACCGTGAGAGCAAAATGCCAGAGCATGCTTCAACACCTTCCACATTGATGCATGTAAATTTGGGAGAGCGTGGCTGGTATTAGATAGCCTATATACCTATGAAATCCCACGAGCGCAAACATGCACTGACTCTGTAAATTATAACCGATACACAACAGTACCATTCAGTCACAACCACTCCAAAAAATAAACGAAACGAATTGTCCTGTACCTTTCTTGAGTAAGGCGTACCAGACCGGTACATTGAAGGCCACGGCGCCGCCCATTACAAAGGCTAGGGATGGATCCCACACATTTATCAAGTCTAGAAAGCCCAGAACCTGAGGTGAATGTGGGTATACAATAGTGAACTTGAGGTGAATGTGGGTATAATATAGTTGAACTTGAATAGAAGTGTGAGCCCGCCAGAGTGGCGAATGCGAAATCTGTTGATCGATATTTACTAGTACTATGGATATGTGGTACCTGTGATTCTTGGGGAAGTCACATAGGCATAGACTATCTATTTAGTCGACATGAAAATACCCCTTGCAGAGTTACGAGACTCAACTCTCTAGATATTCACCAAGGGAGAGTGTGTATACTGTCAATTAGCGAAACACGTGGGAAAATATTGATCGTTGTAAAAACTGCGCCCATACAAAATCAAGGGCCACCTCAAGCAACGGGATTTTTTGGTCATCAAGAGGTTGTTGCTGGGGTTGGGTTCCGCAAAATATAACAAGAAAGAGACTACAACATTCGCAGCACTATGCATAAGGTGGATATATTTCACAGAGCATCGCAAATATACGTCTGTACATAGTACATATAGGTCTTCAAATATAAATCTTCTGATGATATGAATCGCATAGTGAGCGATGGTTTAGACGCATGCGAGATTATACACCACATGAACTATCAACGACCATGGGCATACGCACATAGCTCAACATCAGACTGCCTCACAGCAAGCGAAGACAAGTTGAGTAGGTTAGGTATTGCTTGTAGAACTATACACATGCGCCGAAAACCCTAAAACCCTAAAGGCTCGGCACTAGACTGCCTCACTCCAGACGGAGACACATTGGGAAGACCAGCGCTATGCTTGTAATCAAAGCTATTACAGCCTCCAGGTATATAGTGAACTAAGCCCGTACTTACGATTTCTGTTATATTGCTGTTACTGACTGTGTTGTGTAGTCTGTTTGCGAAGTGATCCACTGAGCATCACGAATAGTGTGACCAATTGTCTGCGTGCAATGTCATTCTTTATTAACAGCGCCCTTCCGTCAGATTTGCATACTGGAGAATAATCGCTTGCGTATTCAATACAAGCCTTATTGGATACACACGGACGAACACTCTTTTTGTCATACATCATTCATGGCCACGCTACGCTTCATGCGCAACATACCTTGCTAGGATCTGACATACCGCTGACTCCCAGGCCCAGCCTAATCCGCGGGGAGAGGTAGTGACAACGAACAAGCAGGAGTGTGAGGGTGGGTAATATAATATAGTATAATATAATATAATATAGCATAACATAACATAACACACACACGCACACACACACACACACATATATATATATATATAGTCGTCCACAGAAGGTTTAAGAACACGCAGATAGCAACAAAAAGCATGTGGCCATTGATGGGAAACTTGTGAGTGCGGAGTACATACCAGCACCACGTGTTGACGAAACTGAAGCAGCGCGTACAATAGTTGTCTCATCCTGAATGAAGTATTTGCTCACATCTAAATACATCAACAGATCACGAAAAGGGCAGTATCGACCACGCACGTACCCAAAGAGTCCTCCACTGGCGTAGCTGGCAGCAAGGGATTTGTATGTGTCTACCGATCGCCCTAACCGCACATTGTTCAATGAGTAGGCCAAGGAGGAAGCCAGAAGGGACCCATAGAACATACCAGGGCTTACGGAAAGGAACTCCAAGCTGCTCATAACCTCGCTCATCTGTGGGCCTGTTTGTACTGCTTTACATCTGGACAGTCAGACACGGTGTGAATATAAGCATACATTATAGTCCAGGCATCTCATTACCGAGGAGTGCTATCAACAAACCCAAACACAGTTCACTCAGTCATATAACACAGTCCGGGCAGTACACGACCGTCGTGTGCTATATTCGTAAACACTTAAGATCTAGGTCCCTCAATTTGTACATACAGAACGTCGTTGCTGACAATCGAGCTCCGAGTGATGATTGCTGTCGACATGAAGGTGGCGACGGCCACGATTGAGCGTGGCGAGGCCCTGCATAAGAATATCAATCGAGTGTATATTTATGAGTCCATGAATTTTGGGGTGCATCAGACACCTAATCCATATCCAACTGGAAGGGTCGATATTGTGGTGAAATAACAAAGTGTCTAAATGGAGGTTGAGCTTATGTCACATTGTGCATCTTTTCAAACTCTACTGGACGGGTAGAGACTCATACAATACAAGTATACTCTACCGTTATACATCATTTACAAGTGACAGAAACGTATCGGTAGCGGAACAAATGAACAAAGTACAAAACGAAGGCACCAATATCACATTGGTATGAACATGTACCGAACATCTGAGGTGTGATTCGACTTACCGAGGCAGACCACACACGCCGTGTCCACTCGTACAACCACTCCCCATGACTGTACCAAAGCCCACCAATGCACCCGCAGCAACGGTACTCGCAGCGTTAACCGGCACCGCGTTACCAAAGACCTGAGTGATTGTAGGGCATGTGTCAGCAATGTGTGCAGCGTGATATATGTATGGTGGAACTGCTTTTGATTCGGAACGTGATTTGTAAACAGCTATGAACAGTATAGTACAAAGAGTGATTAACGAACTATAATAATCAGATAGCCATAAATATATATATATATGTGTGTGTATATATATATATACAGATACAGACACAGACACAGACACAGACACAGACATAAATATATATATATATATATACATACATACATATATATATATATATGTATAAGTGCATGCAAGAATGCACTTTTCTTGGTGTTATGCAGTGTATTTATCACGACGTACTTCGCACATACATACGTATATGGAAAATCACATAGCTCTATATACATGTTTGTATGAATGCACGTGTATATATATGTATGTATGTAGAAACGCGTGCTTTTGTGGTGACATATACACAACCGTCCTATGTATATGTAGGCGTATTATACACATACTCACAAACTCATATACATGGAATCACTTTCACAAGGCCCACCTCAGGTGAGTACAGGTGTAAGGCTAATCCAGCGCTACCCACACCGCTTAGGAATGTCATCCGCCAGTCTATATCCTTTTGACCTGTAAGAGATGTACGAAACAGCGTTCAACATTCACATACTAGTAGTTTTAAAATCACACCATGTAAGAGCGACATCGGTATTAGTATTGCAGCAAAGTCAGTCGGCGGTGGCTCCGTCGCTTTGAGCCAGCTAAGATTCGACTACAAAGAGTATGCAGATGACCAGATCATATGCTTCTCCATAATTTGAATCATGGAAAAGCAGACACGTTCACAGCATTTAGTCTATACATCCACGTATAATTTACAACGTCTGTAATGCCTTGCACGCGATTATTTCTGGCATACTTCGTAGTCGATGAATGAAGAGAACTCCTACAACGAGGAAAACCCCTTCGCACATCTGTCGAAAATTAGGTGCATACGGTCAAGCGCCATCGGTAATATTTAAGCCTGGATATACTGTGGCCGGTGGGATCAGGTGCCTAACTTTGATGTTATACTACGCTAATAATGGCTTACGCTAACGATCCCTACTATAACAGCTCAGGGTACCCCCGCCATTTCACCGTCAAAAGCCAAAAATAGCCACCAATTTCTCGAGCAATTCTCTCTCTGAACACATTCAAAGGCAAGAAAGACATATGCAACACACTTGCACAAGTCACAACAATACCAAAAACAGCTGCATATTTACTATCACTATAGACTGCAATGCTTACGCAATGAAGTACATACGCTTGAGAATGCCGTTGTATGTCCCAGATATACCGGTCACTCGACCATTCATTGCCAGGTGCAGTGACGACGCCATGCCGATCATTGTGCCACCAACAGAGGCGGCCAGAGGCGTAAACAGAGGACTGATCAGCGGCATCATGTATTATCCGGTGTGATGCAAAGCTGTAGAGATTACTATACGGAATGAGCTATTTGTCCTGGCATGGACTATAAGAACGCACTGAGAAGTGTTCATTAATCGTCGAAGATACTTTGTATGCCAAACAGGTATGTCATTGTAAGGCCATACTCTACTAATAGTAGCCAGCGGAAGGAGCCATGGAATTTTGGAAGTAGTATGTTGATATTGTATGACGACTCTGCAAGATGATAGGCAAATTCTGAAATTCAAGAGTTCAATCACTACATCAAATAGTACATTTTCAAAAAAAACAAAAACAAAATACATTACACAACGAGCGTCCATTTTTGGTTTGCCACAGATCTATAATAACGCTTTGTATAACCAGCAGGATCTCTGGGATTTTGACTTTTAAAAATCACACCTATCTTTTCTCTTTTAAACGTACTTGAGTCACCCGTTCCAATCATCTCTCTTGATGCAAATAGCCAGCTAAGCCGACTGACAGTCGGATTCGTGAGTGTGAGGACTGAGGACTGGAGGCCGGTATATATACATATATGTACCATACTCAAGAGGATACCCTCTACCACTCTTGACGGTTGCATGCTCGTTTCAAGTAGTATCCGAAAATAAACATCCATCCAATCGCGACACTCTCCAGATCGTACACAACATACCCAACCAATATACATAATCATAAAGGTTTAATATCCCCCGAAGGACATACTACTGACACTATGACCGGTGCTTCTCCCATTGAGGGCCTTCGTATTTGTTCGTTGCTTCCGTCATCGACCGACATAGTGGGTCGCCTGGGCTTGCAAGACTATCTGGTGGCGTGCACGCACTGCTGCAATGAGCTGCCGGGGCGAGATCTACTCAATGCTGTGTCCGCGGGTAAGTGTGCTCATCCAATTCCCCGCACGTGTACATGTTTGCCATTATTTTCCGTTACATCTATTGATGTGTCGGTATGAATTCAATTTTACATTGACTTCAGGGCCCATTCAAGTGTATTTGTCGGCGTTGTGTATCGCGTAGGCTGCTGTTAAGTTTGTGTCCTCCATACTTTATTCTCTGATCTGTATTTTGAACGAATGCATTCATGAGCGTATATGCACTGCTGTAGTACGAGACAACGTCACGCGAGAGCGTGTAGACAAATTTTCGATGAAGAATATTGTGGTACTGATTTCCTTGCTTTGGTTGTGTGTATGTGTACACATACAGACACAGACACACACACACACACACACACACACACACACACACACACACACACACACACACACACACACACACACACACGACACACACACACACA